GCTGCTCCATACCTGAGCTTTTGTCTCCAGCCGATGCCCAGAGCTTATGGAAATCCTTTGGATGCAGGGGGGGAGGCAGGGCGGAGGTGTTGCCGGCAGGGATGCGTGTGATGCTGGAGCTGCCTGGTCCTTGGCCGGAGCTGTGGGCTGCTGCCAGGATCCACCCTCTGCGTGCTGCTCAGGAAGCCATAGGCTTGCCACGGGCCACAACGCTCAGTATCATCTCTTTTACACACTTAGTTAGTCAGTTTCCCACAGTAAACTTTGCAAAGAGGACAATTTGGCTTGGTGTGGAGGCTTAAAATATGATGCAGGCAGCACCTCTCCCTGACGTCCCCATCTCTGAGACTATGACCATGCTTCACCCAGGACCCAGACATACACCAGCCAAATACTCCACCCCAGTGCCGGCCAGTGTCCAAATACCTCTAGCCCAGCTCCAAAAGAAAACTTATTGTGAATCTATAGATTTTTTTCCTAAAAAAAAAAAAAAGATTGCTGAGACAGACATGGGGACTGGCAAAGGCATCACAATTCAAGTGGTGCTTCAGGACATGCTGTAACAGAAAACAGAGGTAAGGACTCCAGCCTATTCACAGCTGGGCTCATTGTGCCAGCCCACCATGCATTATCCCGGGGTAAAGCAAAGCTCTCCTGCTCCTCCTGGGAGCCCTCCCAGCCTGTTCCCACACTGCTCAGAGGCACCAGCCCCACAGCACCATGGGGTTTCCCAGCCCTACTCCCAGCATGAACTGGCAACAAGGCCATGAGGAGGTGACAGGTATCTTTATCCTGCCACCCAGGAGACCTCCAATGTCCTGCTGGCAGGAATTTGTCTGAGGAATTTCCCACATTGAAAGCAGCAAGGGGACTGAGATGATCACTTGATTATGGCCAGGGCAGGCGAGATGGAAAGCTGTGCTCCAAGCCCTTACCCTCTCTTCCCAGCCTGATGATTTATTGCCTTACTTAGCAGAGCACATCAGCTCCAGCCATAGGGCAGTGGGTGGGCATCAAGGGTGCAGCTGCTGGGTGCCTGCACCAAGTGCCCAAGCACTCCCAGCCCACACCCAGCCAAAGGTGGAGCAGGAGGGGAGCAGCTCCTGCCTGACCCAGATGAAGACACTGAGCATCGAGATGGGAATATTAATGAGAACCCCAAAAGCCATCACATTGAGCCCCCATCAGTATGCTAAAGCTCCTTCCATTCTCACTTTTTACCATGCCTTTAGCAGGAGAGCTCCCATTAGCCATACACATCATCCTTGGGGAAACAGCATTGATAGATGTGTGAGATCAGGCAGGTGGATTATCTTTTCATCACTTATGCCAGGGAAGCTTTCCACTGCTGAAAGCAAGAGGAGAATGAGCCAGCTCTTGCAGCATGCTGGTGATCCACCTTGGGGGTCATGGCTGGTTTTCACATGCCTTGCTCTGCTCTGGAGCCCAGGGGACTGCCTGGCCCCTGGGCAAGGCAGAATCTATCCCACAACAGCACAGACTCAGAAGCACTTTCCTGGGGGCTGGGCTCCCCATTTCCCCACGCACAGGGATCAGACCCCTCCTGCGGCAGAATTTCACCCAGCAAACACCCAGCACAACCACAGGCCAAAAGAATACAAAGCAGTGATGGCACTCAGTCTGTGCCTGCCCTTCCTCACTCCGGCACGTCTGTGCCGGTCATTGCTCCCCCCAGAGTGTGCCGGCTGGCAGTGACACGCACCCACCAGCACCACGGATGTGACGGAGCCCTGGGCGCAGGATCCTCACCAGCCTTCGCATGGCAGTTGCAAGCACTGAGCTTTACAGCCCAGAAAATCCGGGCTCTGAAGGGCTCCATCCGGCGGGGCGGGGGGCGTGCCGCCCTGCCCAGAGCCGCTTTCATGCCATTGTGCCTTTTCAGCATTGCATTAAGGCAGCCAAAGAAGGGGGATTTTTAATGGTTCCAGGGGAACAAAGCAGGAACATTCGGCCCAACTTCATTACAGAATCATCTGAAACGCTTGAGGAATGTTTCCCACTAATTATCATAAATAGCCGAAAAAAATCTTTCCCTCCCAAAGCAGGTTCCAGCTGCCCCTCTGTGTTTTCTCACCTCCACTTCCAATAGCCTGACCCTGCCCCTGCACAAAGGGGAGACCCCATCTTTGCTCCCCCTGCACTCGCACTCGGGGGCTCTAAAGAAATACAAACAGCCGGCAGATTAACAGCCCTTGTTTGCACCTTAAACAAACAGGAGACTTCCGCCCCTCTGGGCTCTCCCGCTGCCCAAGGGTGGATGCACCAGCTGGTTTTCCTTGCCCTTGCACTCCCACCCTGCCCAAAGCACTGATAAAAGCATGGGCAGCAAAAGGAGTGAAGCAAACAGACCAAGGAGGGGATCACCAGGGGTGCCAGCCCCACACCCCGTTGAGCCCAGTCCCTCATGTCTGGGTGTCCCGTCGCTGCCCTACGGGAAGTCAGGGTTCTGCCCCAGCAGGACGTGACTGCAGCCCTTTCACAGGAGGGTTGGGAGATGCCAAGGCCAAAGCAGCCAAATGAATGTCCCAGTTCCATCCAGAGGACACATGGAGGAGTGGTGCTAGTGTTCAAAACCACCACCATCCTTGAAGGGGTACAGCAGCAACACCGAGCAACCACGGCCAGCCCACGGCCATCTCTGCTGAGCTCAACAGGGGATGGATGGGTGTCAGATATGCCTGCCTGGCCAAGTCCTTAGGCTGATCCCAGCAGCCGCAGATGCCTCTGCCAGGGAGCTGCCACAGCTTGGGTCCCCACCCTGCAGGTCCCATGTCACCCATCCTACCTCTCCAAGTAGCACTGCCAGCACATCCCTGCTCCCACAGGACCTGGTGCCAAACCAGTCCCTTCTCACCCTGCTCACAGGACCTGGAGCAGCCAGCCCCCAGCCCCACCAGGGCAAGCAGTTGTGAGAGACATTTGGGCTCAAACCACATCAGCAGCTAGTGAGACACTGATCCCTGCACAGCTATGGCACATTTTGTGGCTAGCATACGAGGCAGGTGCCCAGGGAGCATGGCCACGGGCTGGGGCAGGCTCCCAGCAGCAAGCCAGCAGTGGGACTTGTCTGCTGGAGGCCCAAGTTTGCTCCCCGCTCAGGTGAAAATCCCCCCATGCAGGTGTTCACTGCTCCCCTTGCTGCCAGCCACAAGAAAGGGCTGTCACTCGAGAGCCCTCTTCCTGCCCACAGGGTGCCCCAGAGGCAGGAAGGGGACCGGAGGCAGGTGGCAGAGACATGTCACCGCTCTCACAGTGGAGGCGATGACAGGCAGAGGTGTTAAAAGCAAGTGCTGCAGCATGAGTAACTGGGTTGTGGGACCCATGTCTCATCTGCTCAGGGAAGGAAGAGAGCCAGCAGTGGCTATGGGACTCCCAGGCCATGCTGGAGACCCTCCAGTCCCAGCACCACTCAAGAACATCCTGACAGTGTCCTGTCTCTGCTCCTAACTGGTTGTTACCTGAGGCTGTGAGGACCTCAGGCAGTCACAGCAACTAGGAAGAGGTTTATGGAGTCACAAGTAGCCTGGAGACACCAAACCAGGATGCTCACCTTTTTGTGTCCAAAGCAAGAACTAGGGACATCCCATGCAAGGAGTGGCAAGCAGGGGGACAACAAAGGGACACATTGTCTTGTTCGGTGCATGGACAATCCTGGGCACTCCTCATCACAGGTTGTTGCAGATGCTAAAAACCTTACCTAAGTTCAGAGAAACCAGAGAAATTCACAGATTAAAAAAAAAATCTTCAAGTTCTGTTCAGTGCAATGGCTGTCCTGCCGAGTGCGGAGGGTGTGCTCCCTGAGCATGGCCCCAGCCACAGACCTCCCTTGTGGCAGGAAGGCCTCTGCTCAACACCACAGTGAGGTGCAGCCCCAAAGCAGCAAACCTGGATGCTGCCCTCTGCTCTTGCTCAGCAATCAGGAAACCCAAGTGTGTTCCCCCACAGGCTGCCTCATCACCCCCAGGACACCCTGCATCCCACCCACCCTTCTTTTCCGGGAGACAGCGGGAATGTTTGCTAATTCCTCCAAGCCCACCCCAGCCACATGCCTCCAGGGATTGGCCCCACAGAGTGCCAACTCCTGCCTGCAAGCCAGCTGCACCATCCTGGCCCCGGGAATATGGGTGGCTGTATTTTCCTTGCAAATTAGAAATCAATCATAGCAGGAAATTCCCGTGCTGTGAACACCCTGGCTATTACTATTTTACAGCACTCAGAGGTGTTCTGGGCACTTAGAAAGACGTGGCCCTTTCAGGGTATTATGGGGCAAATTAGTTTTAAAGGTGGCTGTAGGAATGTTGGCCACTTGGTTTCCGGAGCAGGAAGGGTGCAGGTGGAGGCTGTGGGGCTTTGTGCTGCTTTTGGATACACCACGGCTCTGCAGAGAGGGAACCGGCACGCTCCAGAGCATACACCTCTAGCCTGACCCCAGCTTTATTAATAACAAGTAATTAATACGAGAGCGGACGTGCCTTGTGTCTCTCAAGACCTTTTAAGATGTGATTATGTTGTGCTAATCTCACCCCGAAGTACTTCCCTGTTTAGACTGCACTGGGCCATTAAATATCTGAAAAGCCAGCAGAAGACCCCCCCCTCACCGCTCCAGGAAGTGCTTGGGGTCTGTTCCCCAGCAGCCAGGCCCCCCTTTCAAACCCTCTAAATCAAATCTTAAGTTGAGTCCATCTGGATTGCCAGGAAAAACACTCCCTCCTCTCATCTGTGTCTCATTACCCGCCGTGCCAGCCCGGCCCCAGAGCCACTTGCTCCATCCCGCCCAGATGTGCTGCCCCGCGCCTGCCTCCCGTATTTCACAGCCGTCAGCAGGACTTCAAGGAGCAGCCGAAGGGCCTGTAACACTGCACAGGCTCTTAGCAAAGACATATATCCAGGTCCCTAATGCACAGCCTCAGGCACAGACCCCAGTGCAAAGCCCCTTTCTCCCTCCTGTGGTCTCACACCAGGCAGGTGGGAGGCAGCTCTCAGGACTCCCCATCCGGAGGTTTTTGAGCCACTTCCCCACAGCTCTTTGCCAACCACATCCAGACTACCCATTTGCAGGACTCCCCAAAGCCCCGAGACTCCGCAAAGCCAGACAACCCATATGCTGCATTCCCACCTGGGGAAGGGCACAGGACAGGACCTAGCACACACTGGCAGCAAAGGCAAGGAGTTTACAACAACCTGCAACCCTGTAGTAACTGAGGTAATTAAATTTGGGAGCAACTCAAATGGCACAGGGGAAAGTCAGCACCACTTTGGGCCCAGGCAAAATAAGGTACCCAGAGACCCAGACCAAGAAACGACTCCTGTGCTCATCAGCTCCGAAAAAATCTCCTGGGCTAAAACTTTCTAGTGAAAATGTCAGCACTTCTAGAAAATCCACAGAATCTTTATGCTTTCCAGGACCTAGTAACAGCCTAGGACTGCAGAGGTGAAGCTGCACATCAACCCTTCAGTTAGGAGGAGAGTTAGCCCTCTCCACCAAAGCTTCAGCAGAGCTGGTGCCCAGGCTGCAGTCGGGGCTCAGCATCAGGTGAATTTATGGTATGAGGATCATGCGGCCGGCATGACTGAATCTGTGCTCCTCCAGAGAGGTCAGGGCAGGCAGCATCACAAAGAGGGTTTGGGCACACAAGATTTAAAGAGGTTTTCTCACGCTGCTGCTGCCTGCAGGGCAGTGTGCAGCCCCTTCCTGCGCGGGTCCCGAGGGCCGGCGCGGGCTTGGGACCCGCGCTCCAGCCAGCAGCGGGATTCCCCGCAGCAGGTCACAGTGAGAAAAACTCTGGGATGAAAATACTCCCATCACCAGCCCTTCAGTGCACGGCAGAGACGTAGGGAAGGCTTTAATATCAGTGAGGAGGGAAGTGGGACAGAGAGAGGGGAAGAGGTCAGATTCATGACAGACGTACCGGCACTAACAAGTCCCGTAATGCCAGGTAGGGAAGAAGCCGAGGACTGGGCAAGAAACCTGGGGACCGTGCAGGTACCTGCCGGGTATGGAGAGGAGATGCAGGCAGGAGTCTCGCTCAGACCCTGCAAGCAAGAAGTCCAGCGAGGTCCCCAGCCGTCCGACCGCAGGGTCTCCAGCGCTTGGCTGCGG